TTCGCAACTGGGTGAACCTTATTCAACTAACCCCTCACCGCAACCCAAGAGTATCGTACTGGACCCCACTACTAGTGGGTGTTATTAAGTTCAATTTCAATGGATGCTCCTTGGGAAATCCAGGCCTAGCAAGCACGGGAGGAGTCATCCGTGACCATAACGGTGAAGTCATCTCATCCTTCTCAAAACACCTTGGCCACAAAGACTCACAGTTCGCAGAGGCCACGGCCCTACTGATGGGAACCAAGAAATTTAACCCTTCCTAGGGCCCACACCTCCACATAGAGGGAGATGCCAAAAATGTAATACTCTGGGCCACTAGAAAGGCCCCTCCTCCTTGGCACCTAGCACACATTTTTGACGAAATTGAGCACACTTGCAGGGGTATAAACGTCTTATGCATGCATATTTGGAGGACGTCCAACAACTTCACAGATCGTCTCGCCAAGGAAGCCGCTAGGAACCATCCTTCTGCACATGTATAGAAGCACACAACAGGGAGCTTTATATCACTAACACAGCAGGGAGGCCTACACTTTCTAGATTGTAGTCTTATACCTTGTAACGGGCAGATTATATAAGCCCATATCTTTTGCCTCACTGGTGATGTTAGAGCCAATCTTCTAGAACAGGTCACTCCCTAGTGACCAATTTTTTGGTTGAGAGACCCGGTCTGTGGGTTACCTCAACCCTTACTTTTTTAAAAAATCTTACTATTATATTATTTATCGTTAACTTCCAAAAAAAAAAAAACACTCGAGGAAAGTGCAGAATTATTTAATAAAGCACACAATTGTTTCATCAAGCATAGTTTAGGCGAACTTCCATATCCATTATGTATATCAATTTGCCTGGGGTGGAAGAGCGTAAAGATTATTTTCTAAAGAACAAATTTAATGGATGAGGAAAGATGCAGACCACATTTCAAAAAGGCATGAGCAGATGTCCAATCATGGCAATCCACAAGCTTAAATTGAATATCTCTTTGAGATCTACGGCCCATATTTTCTCTATGGATTATTCAAAATTCAGACATTTTAAGTTTATATCATTGTTGGCAAAATCGCCCGATCTAACTGCTAACCGCCCGGTTAGTGGCCGGTTCCGGTTTTGGGCGGTTAGGATGATCAACCGGTATTTAAAAAAAAAATTCAAAAAATGTATACAAATTCTAAAAACATAGGGACTTTGATTTGTAATGCATTTTTAAATATTCTTTACATTATGGTAAAGATTAAAAATTGTTTTGGTCATTAATACTCACTTTTATATTTTCCCATCTTTTTAGAAAATTTTAAAAATAGCCCTTGAAAAATATAAAATGGGTTAAAATCCATTTTTTTCATTAATTTTCAAATTCATTTAAATGTATTTTGTTTTAATCATTCTCTATATGCTTTTCATATTTTAGTAGATTTTTTTTTGTATTTTTTTTATTTTTTCTCAACACTTTTTTGACCGCCTAGGACTTGCCCTGTTAGAGCGGTTAAATCGGCCGGTTTACCGGTTAGGCCAGTTAAACCACTTCCAGGCCCATGTCCGGTTAAATGTTTCGGTTCGATTTGCAAACACTGGTTTATATCATGCTTGAAAGCCTACTGCCAAATTTTATTTTCCTACGTGTGTTAGGTTTCCTTTCATTGTAGAGGACTTATTGTAATTAGGTTTAAACTTCAGTTTCCTTAAGTTATAGGATTTCTAGAAAGTAATATGCCAACTTAGTTGGATTAGAAATTTGTGAGTTAGATAGTTTCTTAAGAGTCTTTGTGAGTTTGTTTTCTACTTTTTCAAAGAGTCCTAATATAAGGCAAGTGTAATTCAAAACTCTCTATAGTTACCCATGTAGGCATATGGCAAATTGATTTAAAATTGTGAGTATGATGCCAACTTTGTAATAGTGTTTCCTTGATGTCGAGGAGAGATTAACAGTTAATTTTTAAGATTCCTCAACTCTTGTTCTAGAGAGAGCGATTCTACAACACTAGCTTAGGATTGGGAGTCTCCCAAGCAAGTTACACACTTCTTCTTTCCATTCTAGTGTGGCAAATCCTGACCTAAGATTCCCACAACCAACTTCATCACGCATTCAAACCCTTCCATAAACCCCAGCCAAAACTGTACAAACCCTAGATAACTAGCTCAATGACAATCCCAAGAGTTACCTAATCTCTATAGCCTTCACGCTTAAGTTAATTCCCCAAATCAACACTGAAATCCATCTCATAATCCTCCTATCTTGGTGGAACTGCTAAATTCCATAAAGCTTTAACCCCTTCACAAAAACCCTACCACTTGCCCCAACACCATCAAAGCCTTCCCCATAGACCTAACCGTGATTCTACTTCATTTAGACCTCATACTCTATAATTCTACCCCAATTCCGAATCTCATTCCACCCAGTTTGGAAATCTTCCTAAGGCCGAAGACCCTGCTGTCCTAATCCTTATAGGAACCTTAAAGGCCAAAACCATTTAGAACTCCTAGTCCTAACCTAACTAGAATTCCCACTCGTACCCAAACCCTTCCTTTCTACACCCACGTAGCGTGTAATACTCGTGTAGGAGCTGAGCTTCTTGGTAAGAAAGAAGCAGATGTTTGCTTGAGCTTCGAGGTTTTGGCCTTTTGGGGGCCTCCGAGTCCTCATCGTCTGTTTCAAAATGCTATTTCAAAAAGGGAGAGCTTCATTTTCCTTTTAAATTGACAAGGAGACTAAAAAATAAAACAGAAGCTAAGCTGAATTGAGATGCATCATTCTCTTTTCCAGCCTGATTATGAGGGGCGAAAGCTTTCCATCCTCCACCATTTTCTCCACCACTGCCCCCTAGCTCCTCTTCCCTCCCTCAAAAAACTGCAAAAGCGCGATGAGTGAATCGGAAAGATGAAACTGAAGGGGCTTCTTGAGGGAATGAGCTAGGGTTTTCCTTCCATCAGGGAGAAGCTCAAAATGCCAACTTAAAGGATTGGATGTAAGACGTAACAACTGTTGGGTGGTTGGAGGCCATTTCTCTTTTCTTGCTAAAGTGGAGAACCAACTTTCTGACCTTCAATGGAGCAATCATATAAAAAAATAAAAAATTGTGGACAAAGAGGGGAGCAGCATCTCTTTGAAACTTCTTATTTGGTTGTTGAATTACCATATTGCTTAAAAATAGTACTCTGTGAATCTCAGAAGTCAAATTCTCCTTCGTGACAGGGCATTTCTACAGTAATGGTTTAGCTTATTCAAAATAAGTTGCCACCAGAAGTCCACTCACGCTTCAAGTAGCATGAGTCAAGTCTCTAGGTCAAATGTTCCTACAGACTTAAAACTTGAAGAATTGTACTTCAACAAAATAAAAAACGTAGCATAACCATAATGCCCAAGCTCCAACAAGATAATTGCAAATGCATCTACCTTCCGTAGAATTCATGTTTCATGAGTAAATATTAATTTTTGTCGGTCATCAGCTGCTAGGGATAGTAGAATCCCCGAAAGTGATTTGCACCTAGAGGTTATACTATCATGTCTTTCAACATGAAAACCTCGTGTTCTTGCTTATATTAGCGAAAAAGACTCCGTATTTGATTTGTATTTCTAAAGTTTCTTCAGGCCAATAAATGTAACGTAACATATGCCACGGTTCCTTACTTCGACAGGGTGCAAACATCTAAATTTCATCCTTTTAGATGTTTTTTCAGTCGCAAGCTATCTTCATGACAATGAATTTAGAAGTAAATGATCATGTCACTGGATCGTTACGTATACAAGTAACTAGACATCCACTCCTAGCTACAGTTTCTTCTCCAAGATTTGTTCCATAAAACTTGCTTACTCTTTCCAACGAAACTTGAGCAAGATCCAAACACTATCATCTAAGTTTGGAAATTCAAACTCATTTCAAGTGCACAAAGAAAGACAAGGTCCACAATACTCAACAACAAATAAATGGGGAAAATATCGTCCCTAGTTTACACCAACCCATGCATAAAAATTGCTTTTCAATATGCCTAACAATGGAACAGACAAGCAACCTACGAGTCATTGAATCAAAGCTAAATGGGTTAAATTCCTGATCTTAAAAAGGCCAAGTCCAAAGACCGGAAAACATGGATAAAAATTGTTTCTCCTGAAAATCCTAACCATAGAGCAATCAAATCTCACCCCATGAATCAGCCAAACAAGGCCCAAAATATTCTTGAATGGATAAATGAGGGAAACTCCTAAACCTAATGTAGAACATATGCCAAGTCCAAAGACCAGAACCCATTCATAAAAGTCCCTTTACCGAAAAGCCAACCCGTTGATCAAACAAATCACCCTATGAATCATTCAACCAATAACAGAACCCTATACTCAGATACATAATTCAATGACGCAACCAAACCCTAATTCATAAAATAACTAATTAAAAAAAAAAAATCTAAGATAAATGTGAAAGGATCCATAATGAGATAAACCTGCCATAACAAAAACGTAGAACATCAAAATAAATGCAAAAAGAACCCAACCCCATCAAACCTAACAAAAAATTAGGGAAAAACATAAGCAACGTGCAACAAACAAGAAGTTGAATTTATAGTATAAACAATGAGGATCCAACAGATGGTTCGAGACAGACTTACACGCAACAAACAAGGAGTTGAATGTATAGTATAAACAATGAGGATCCAACAGATGGTTTGAGACAGAATTATCAACATAGGCAACTCTTGACCACATCAAAGCAATCCCAAACAAGCTTCAAAATGAGGAGAATTATTGCACAGGAAAATAAATTGCATAGACAGAAAATCAGTTATGATGAGGATAGTAGTTAAACCCAATAAGCTAAGCATTAATTGTTAATGAAAACAGAGTAAACCAGTGATAAAATTCTTTAGAAGGGGTGAATAGAAGAACAAGGAGAATCACAAGATGGTAAGCAAAAGGCGATATAGAAAATCATAACGATGGGGAAAAATATCATGAGGAGAGAGAAAAACTGGCAATGAAGAGAGAGAAACTCGGTGATAGAAAGTACCTGGAGAGAAGCAGGAGAATCAGGTTGAAGTGGATCAACAGAGACAACAACCTTGGCGAGAGGGAGAGAAGGATCATGGTGATTCTGCCATGCATTAGCCACGAGTTGTGGGCACTTCATCAACCACACAGAGCGATCGGCCTTGGCTGTATCGATGGTACCATTGTCCGAGATTAATTCATCAGACATCTTTTTCTCTCTATGAAATTAATCCTTTCTCTCTCTATGAAGAAGGGGAGGTTTGTAGGGCTTTGGTTTGAGAGGAGAGAGAAATACTGCCGAGCTTTAGGGAAAGAGGAGGTGGGCGGGCTTTTATAAAGGATTTCTTGGAGGGAAGGGAGAGAGAGAAAGGGCTGTGCGTCATGCGTGCCATCTCCGCGCGTTCGGATCTCGCGCGTCACGGTTGGCAACGCTATGTCTTACGCCGTGCTTAAAGAAACGGATCCGTGACTTGAATATGTCCCACTCGTATCCGTGTTGGATTGAAGAATCCGTGGATCGGATTGAAAAAATCGACACAATCAATAAAAAGGATTTTAAATTTTTTTAAAAAATTATTCATCTTTTTTTTTTGCTTGGCTTCGTAAAGAATCGGTCGAAATTGATGAAGAATCGGTTGGACTCGGTGAAGAATCTTTGGAATCGACGGTTTCACGAAAAAATCGACAAATCTACTCTTCTGAATCCCTGTTTCTTACCAAATCGAGGACGGTTATAGTGATTCCCAATCCGAATCGTCCAATTCTAGATCGGATCACCGATTTTTAAATCACCGCTCAAGCTCAATTCCTATCAAAGATAGAGATCCTTCCCGATGGACTCACTTAAAAAAAATAAAAAATAAAAATAAAAAAAGGAGACTTATAGTATGGTATTGATCGACAACCTCTCCTTTGTACTCAAATCTTATTAGGAACTAACTTCCTCGCTTTACAAGTGCATATTGCAGCAAAAGTATGGTTGGATAGCCATGGTTACATTAGTTGCCTAGAGGGATTGCGTATGGGCTAAAAAGACTAATGGGAAGAATATGGTATATTTGATCGAGTAGTTGGTTTTGTGCTAATGTCAGCCACGCAGTTGGAGTTATAGAGACCTTAATAAAGGTTTTGAATAAACGACTTGGTCTTTGTGCAATACAACCTGAGCTTGAATGAGAAGCAATAGACCCCTTGCTTACGTTATTTTTCCGTTATATGTCTTTACTATGTTATTACTTATATTTTTATGGAATTTGAAATGTTATGTAATGTAAGACTATGAGGAAACAATCGCTCATATTCCATATTTATTTGGAGAATATCAATAATTATGGAAGAATGGATCTTTGAGAAAGAGAGATCTGGCTTGAAGCTATTGGCGACCCACTAGATAATTCCATGGAGATGGAAGCACCACAAGGAGATAAATTTCAAGTTCAATATCTTTATGTTTTAGATTTTAACTAATATTCAAGGATGCAAACATTCATTAGTAAGATGTAAACTTTTTTCTTGATGGTGGCATATATGATGATGATTAAGTCGATAAAAAGGAACCTAATAATGAGCAAGGAGATTGAAATGAAGTTTATGAAGTAGCCTACTAATTGTGTATGTCACTTGGGTTTTGTAATATTGCAAATGTAACATATGTTTAAGGACTTTGTGCTGTGGATTGTGGCGTGTTGTGGGCTTAAGAGGCATTGTACCTCGTTTTTATACCGCATGTTATGATTGTGGTTTATGACTAATGATTTAATATTACATTATAATCTTTTTTGTTTTGTGTTTGCAATCGTTGTTTGACGTATTTTATTGTTAAGAGTATATAATTATCACTTAATGGGTTATTTTTGTTTATAATGATTTTCTTTTCTTTTTTAGAATCTTTATAATTTTCCCACACTTTTATCTATGATTTCCAATCCTTTCCTCTTTTTTTTTTTCTTTTTTTTTTTCATTGAACTTTAATTTATTAGACCGGTCTGGTCGGTGAATCCAACCAGACCAGTGCCCTTGTTAGTGTTTATAATGATTTTTATTTTTTTTAGAATCTTTATAGTTATTTTTAATTTCCCCACATTTTTATCTATGATCTCCATGTTTTTCCTTGTTTTCTTTCATATTATCATTAAATTTAAATTTTCTAGACTGGTCCGATTGGTGAATCCAACCAGACCAATGCCATTGTTGGTACAGTCACTAGTCTGGTCTCAACAATATTATCTTGAAGGACAATTTATCATAATATTTATCTAGTTTATTCTCCTATCAATCAATGAAGCTATCACAATTTAGACTATTGTACTTCACGACTTTCTATGGGTCTCTAGATTCTCCCTCATGATGTACACTTCGTTATTGCGCAATGGCATCATGAGCTCCTGCAGTTTGGAACTTAGTTGTTGGGATCGGGAACAGGATCAAGAGTGTGGGATTGTAATGTCTAGATGCTTCCCATTGTTTGGATCGCTTTTTCAGCTCCCTGAAATTTAAGGATCTCGATCCCAACATCTCGGGGAACATGTTCTCAACTTTTTTTTGGGTATCACATGATATTTTATAAAGGTCAAAGACACACCTAGTAAAGCATCACTTTTCTCTTTGAAGAATATATAGAATTTGATTTTGCAACACAACATTTTTGTTTTTTTTTTGGGACATGCATTTAATAAATGCTTCCTTATAAACGATCAAGGTGGGTGTGATTAATATGAGCCAACCTGAAGGGATTGGGATGATGTTCCTCCCAAATGGCAACGGCATCCAGCTGCTCTAGGTGCGTTGTATCAGGTTGCGATAGCTTGGTAACTATGGTAGAAAAATCCTTTTAACTTTTTCCTTAAGTATCTGGCACCTTCCAACTTGGATTAGAAACTCAACCTAATCTTTTATAAATACGGTCCATTTATCTCTCTCTTGTTCCCCTCTTTTCCCCAACTCCAGATATGCCCTAGTCTCCCTTATTAGCCTCCACTAGGTGGTTCTTTGAATGAGTTGATTTGAAGTTGATCATTCAAATATAATGAACCTTTCGTCTTTTAGATTTGTAATGAACTAAAATTTCATCCGGATCACCTTTCCAATTTCTTATGGAATATGTCATTTTTAGAATTCCAAAATATGATGAAACTTTGATAAGAAAACTGGCCTCAAAAACAGGCCATGGGCCTGTCCGAGTAACTGGTAAAATGACTTGATTCAATCGGTATAATTGGGCTGGTCCTAGCCAGTCCAAAAAGTGTTAAAAAAAAATTTAAAAAATAATATAAAAAGTATATTTAAAGCTTGATTAAACAAAATACATCCAAATGAAATTGAAAAAAGTAGTAAAAAATATGGATTTTAAAAACTGATTTGTGCCTAAGGATATTTTCAAAATTTTCCAAAAAAGATGGAAAAATATAAAATTAAGTATTCATGGCCGAAACACTTTCCAATCTTCATAAAAATGATAAAAAATATACTTAAAAATACATTACAACAAATCCCCAATTTTTTAGGATTATATATATATATATATATATATAGAG